CTTCCTTCCTTCCTTCCTTCCTTCCTTCCTTCCTTCCTTCCTTCCTTCCTTCCTTCCTTCCTTCCTTTCTCATTTTCATGATTGTTTACTTTTTTATTTCTGTGTTCCTCTCTCTCTTGTCTCTCTGTTTAGCCAATACAGATCATCGGAAGATAAATCAACAAACAAATACTGAAGAAGATTTGGAACCTAAAATGTCTGTGAAAATTATGCCTTCTTCCCCTTTCATAACTTCTTCTGCCTTGTCTCAAAATATTTCACCATCCTCTTCTTCTAAGCATTTTTCTAGTCATCCAGTTAGTTCTCCTGATGAAATAGATTCAAAAAATCCAGTTTCTGATCTCAAGAATAAAGTCCTAGCTGGTAATAGAATATTTCCCAAAACTTCTTTATCTTCAAAAAAAGAAGCAGAGCTGAAAATGGCTTCTCATTCTACAGAAGACATGGTTGATTCTCTCAAAGAGACATCAACAATGCAACCCAAAGTTCAGAATGTTAAAGGAAGTGTTAAGTCCTATTCTGTTATTAAATCTGCACACACTTTCACATCCTCAGGTAAAGCGCCTCTTAGGACACGAACTCCAGTAAGGGTAGGGCAAACAAATACTGATACTGATAAGCATAAATCATTACCATCCTCTTCCTCACTATCTTCCCTTCCCAAATATGCAGAGGATGAAACAAAGAATCTAAGACAGGACAGACCTAACCTTTCTCCTGTTCCCAAAGCTACTTTAGATAATTTGCCTGTTGATAATGAAAGTAACAATCAAGTAGACAATCTGGAGGACAAGCCAACAATGTTTCCTAGAACTTCAGAAGAGAGTCATTCAGTTTTACTTTCAAATAAGCAACTGTCTGCATCTCAGAAGACAACTCATAGTAGATCCACCAAATTACGTGTCCCTTCTATATCAATTAAATCTCCTTTACCAACTGCAGCTATAAACTCTCAGAATCATTCACATCACCTCCCTTACAAACTAATTACACCTGATACCACTGATACTCTTGATAGTGATAAGGGCAGAGGAACAGAAAAAAGAGAGCAGAAACTAAGTTCCAGGGCTGCTTCTCTTCAAGGAGGTTCATCTCCATCTGTGCAAATAAAGCCTCTCACATATTCTAATCGCCATGCATTGAGAGATCCAAGAATAACTACCTCTGCTGTTTCTGCTGCTGCTACCCATACTTTACCTCATTCACATGTTTTATCTTCTAATAAAGAGAAGTCCAAGGGAAGAGATAATTCTGATGATAGTGAAAATGAAAAGAGTGAAAGAGAAGGTGATGAAGAGGACAAACAAGGCTCATCCTCTTCTAGACCAAATTTTAGGCCCTCTTCAGGCGTGGCGATGTCAGAACGCTTTGATTTGTTAAAGTATAGATCAGTTATTACTTCAAACAGATTTGCAAACAGAGTGACCAATAATCATGATGCAAGAAAGCAACCATCTAAAGATCCTTCCACTACACAGCCTTCCAAAGTTCATCCTCAATTTAGTTCCCATTTAGCATCCGCCAGTACTAGTCTTAGATCTAATTTCAATATTGATAAAAAACAGGAGGGTAAAAATGAAAATCCTCTACCATCTACTCCTCCCCATAGTTATTCACCACCATTTCCTAAGCAGCCTTCTTCAGTAGATGATTTCAAAAGGAGGAGCCCTATGGCTGAAACTAAGAGTCACCACAGAGTTACACCCACTAACAAACCTAATCTCGCAAATACACAAGAAAAGAACCATAATAAAGAAAGAGAAACCACTGATACAGATTCCTCAAGAATATCTGCAGAAAAATCACTTCCTCTACATTCTTCTGCTTCCTGGTCTCAACTTCATGATCTCAAAATTAAGACTACATCTCCTAGGACAAAGCAAACATCATCTTTGTCAAAGAAATCAAATACTGCTTTATCCCGCAAAATTGTAAAGCCAGAATCCAGCCGTTTCTCAAAAGCATTGACTGATAGGGCACAACTTCGACCCTCCTTAAACTCGAGAAATGATCTGATCTCCCTACCAAAGAATGACAAAGAAGTCATTGATAATGATAGTTCAGAAAACAAAGAAACAAATGATAAAGAGGAACAGAGAGGGTCTCCTTCAGCACCTGCTAAAGAAGTTCCCATAACTAGAAGAATATCTACATCTTTGTCTCAGGGAAGAACCAGCTCTCTTTCAAAGCATTCTGATTCTCAGTTTGATAAAACTGATGAAAGATCTCCAACTCAGCTGTTACCAGGAAAACAAGCTGGGTCAAAGGTTATTACTTCTACTGAAGTTACCTCTGATATGTATAAATTGCCTTCATCTTCCCACAAATCTAAATATGTACAACCAATATCTACCTCTCCAAAAGACACAATCAAAGACTATCAATACAGCAGAGAAACTTCTCTGAAGCAAACTCACCATTCAGTGCCCCATTATCCATCTGCTTCCAGAATTCCCAGTAGGATAGCATCCCAAATAAACAAAAAGCATGAACTTTTCCAACCAGCCCCTACAAAGGTTGAACTATCTCCAAAACTGCCTTCCTCTAAAATACATCAGTCAGTTTCAAATAGTGATGATGATTATGAAGATTACGACCAATCAGATGTAGAGAAAGATCGTACTTTGTCTTCAGCAGCCAAGACTTCCCAAATTCCTAACAAACTGAAATCCTTGCCTAAACTAAACTTGGCTTCACCACACACCTCTGAATCTGCTTCTGTATCTTCTCATAGTCACTTGACTACTGTTTCTCCAACATATTCCTCAACTTCTCCCTCAGTGTATCCTATTCAACGAATACAGAATTCAAGATTATTAAATCCTTCTCAACGACAGCAACTTCGATTTCCTCATAGACAAGGTGAGGAAACTCATAACTTTCTATTTAAATTTATTTAGAAAGGAAAAAAGTTTTATGTTTGGGCTATAAGAACCTCATTACGGGAAACTGGTTTGTTTTGGAACCATCTGTCAGTTTTGCTTCACAAACACTTGCAGTCTCTTTGAACTTTTGCAGTTTTACCCACAAATGTCATTGTAAGTGGTCTGCTTGTTTTCTCATCATCTCTCACTAGAAAACCACATTTATTGTATAGGAATCGCTAACAATATTAGATAGGCCTGATTACTGGTAGATGGGTGTTCACTATTCATATAATGCCTATTCTAGGTTAATTAAAGAAATATATTTATTAGATAGCACATGAGTCATGTACTTAGGTAGTACACAGAATTGTGAAGCAAAGCAGAGACCAAAAAAAAAAAACCTCTGAAAAAATTTACTATGTGTTAACCATGTTTTGTATACAAATGTAATGTGTAAACAAATACTAAAATAGTATTTGTGAATATGAAACACAGAAACACATCTTTGTACAGAGACATTTACAGTTATTAACCCCAATATAATTAGGTAATCTAGTATAAGCAGTATATGTATGCAGATTGTAGCCAAAGACACATTTATGCATGTTGGTTTATAAACTGCATTTCATCATGTTGAAAATATTTCAGTTTAGTGCTGTGAATTGTAATTTCTCTGAATGGGTAAAATGTTTGAATGCTGTATGTTTCACCATGTATATTTCAGGTAATGGTGGCAGACCCAATCTGACAACAAAATCAGATCCAAATAATAAAATAGCTTCCAATAAAAATGGAAAACGACATGGACAAAAAATAATAAATGGTCCACAAGGAATAAAGTGGGTAGGGAAACCTTATTTTAAAATATCTGAAAGATTTAATTTTATATTCCTTTGAGTTGGAGAACCTTTCGATCAACAACATATTGCTTTTAGATTGTAGATCTCAACCGAGGGCTGGTCCTGAATGCTGAAGGCAGATATCTCCAAGATTCCCAAGGAAAGCCTCTCAGAATAAAATTAGGTGGAGATGGCCGCACTATCGTTGGTATGTTGTATTTTGATGCCATGTGATTGCGATTTTTTTTTTGTTCAATAAACTGCCCAGAGAATCCTACATTGTGATAAATATTGAAAATAAATAAGCAAAGTACATTATGTACTTACTTATTTACTCAATTTATATAGCCGCCCATCTCACTCTAGGCAGCTTACAATAAAACAAATGAAAACATGAAATACATAATATAGAGCAAAAATAAAAATGCACAGCAGCTGGGCACGATCTAATCCATGATCCATACAAGCAGGAGACAGGCTCTAACCCATACCCAGGGCCCCAGGCTCAAGCACAAAGCCAGGTTTTCAAGGTCACACGAAAGGCCAACAGGGACAGGGGGAATGATATACAAAAAGGCAGGTGCCATAGCAGAAAAGGCTGTCCTTCTGGTCCCCCCCCCCAGCTGACACTCCCTAGCCGATGGTATCCGGAGCATGCCCTTCCTGCTAGATCAGATAGAATGGGTAGAAACAACTGGGGAGAGACGGTCCCATCAGTAACCTGGTCCTAAGCCATGAAGGGCTTTAAAGGTGACAACCAGCACCTTGAGTTGCATCCAGAAGCACACCAGAACCCAATTAAGCTTGCAGAGTGGTGGTGTCACATTATTTAGGTAATATACCTGGGACCAGGCAAAGAGATCTGGTTATATGAGTCTTTTTTCCCTTCTCAGTAAAGCTCATCTGTCAAGCAAAATGTACATCAGGAAGTCATCAAAAGATTAAGAAGTCTGCTTCTCTGTTTACTGTCTTTGAATGTCAGTTGATAGTTTGCTAAAATGGAACCTCTACACCCTCTGCCCCCCAAAATAAATGATTTGGGTGAAAATGTCACTGTCTTGAATTAGTGTTTCTTGTGAAGTGTACCACTGGCCTTTTCATAGTTCAGTGTCATGGCTAGTTTGGTTGGCAACAGCTGCTATAATTAGTCTGGGCCACAGTGGCAGCCTCAACAATCCGCTGTTTCTCACAAAATTAAATAGGATTGGAGAGGACTGGTAATGGCTTTTATATGTTCTACAAAAGGAATTTTAATCATAATGAACCATCTGCATCATTGGTCTTTTTATTAGAAAGTCTGTACACCATAGTGAAAAGAATAGTTGAAACAAGAGAGTCAGTAGTTCTGTTGGGCTTTCTGAGAGAAGTCAATATATTAGGAGGAGGTGGTAAAGAATATTGTTGAGGATGCAAAAGTTATGTATTGTATATTTTACAGAATGGAATTACAGCACTAAGAATTATTCTTTAAAATGTTCAATAGTTCCTGCACCTTAAAAATATATATTGTATGTATCCAGACTTCTAGACAATGATCTCACTTAAGTCCAGTTCTTCCCAATTTTTAATGGCATAAAGCAGTATTTGAGGTACAACACCCTCTTGTTGTGTTCTGATAGATTCTAAAGGAGCTCCAGTAGTAAGTCCAGATGGTTTACCTTTGTTTGGACATGGAAGATTTAGCAAGCCTGTAGCAAATGCACAGGATAAACCAATAATAAGTCTTGGAGGTAAGCCATTGATAGGCCTTGAAATGGTTAAAAAAACAACCACTCCTTCTACAACAACAACAACAACTACAACTACTACAACTACTCCTGAACCTACAACTACTCCTGAACCTACAACTACTGAGCCACCAACAGAGAAACCATTGGCTACCTGTCCTCCAGGCACCTACACAGAGAATGATGAAGAAGGGAATCTTGTATTAGGCCTGGATGGTCTACCTGAATGCCATTCTGAAGGTACCCTCTTTTATGCTGGCTAAACATCAGCAATATCTTGAGTATGTCTGCAGCAAAAGTTGTGACCTGGGGGAAAGGCGTTTTATTTTCCAGGAAGGCTTTACAGCTGCTGTGCTGACAAAGCAGGTAAGATTCAAGCTACCAAAGGCTTGAAGTAGTAGTTGTGGAGGAAGCAGTAAATCCCTGTTCTTTCACATCTATTGCAATGATAAATTGTTGAGCTGTTTAAACTAGCAAAGTGGGGAAATAAGCCCAACGTTCTTTAAAGCAAGCTTTAGGCAGATGTAGACTTTTATGCAGATCAAGAGTTTGTAGCAAGGGTTAAAAGTGAGGAGAAAGACATTAGCTGTACAAAACATTTCATTTCCAGGTTGGTCCCCTGTTCTGTGATAAGCTTGCATCTCATCAGTATCGAGAATATGTGTGTGTTGCGTGTAATAATGTCTCTCAAACCTGACCACTGTTCTGTTAATAGAAGTGGAACAATGACTTGGTTCTCACATACATTTATCATAAAGAAGTCACTTAAAACTCTTCTGCCACTCCCTATAATGTGTAGTGTCACTTCCCATATTGACATGGCACCGGTATAGTCAATCATCTATCAAGGGTAAGTTCCATGCTGTGTATCTTTAATTAAGGTTGAGGAAAATTCTTCTGATTTCAGAAGAGGGGGAAGATTTTCTTCATCATTTGCAGGAACGGAGGAGAATTTTTTTTTCTGTTCACATTTTAATGCCCACTTAGTTTGCTGTTTGTCCAGAAACCATCTGGATCCCTACAAGCTCCTTTTTGGCTCTGGGTGGGATTTCACTCCCCCTGAAGGAGCAGGACAGCAGTCTGGTGGTTCTGGACTTGCAGCTCCTGCTAGAACAGCCAGTGGACCCCATGCCCAGAACAGATTTTGCCTAGCTTCAGCTAGTTTGCCAGTTGTAAACATTCTTGGAGCAAATGCATTAGCGACTGGCATTCATGCCTTTATGACGCTGTGTTTGGATTGCTATCATGTACGATAGGCTACCTTTAACTACCCAGAAACCTCTGTTGGGGCAGAATGTAACACGAGAGCCATTTCAGCAAGGTAACACTTATACTGAGTTGGTTGCCAATATTTTCCAGTGTGCTAGTTATGATATATAAAGCCCTTATGCCTTGGATCCTTATGACCACAGGACCATATTCCCTGAATGGCCCAAACTCTGTGTGTAAGTTGAGAAGCTATGTTGAAAATTTCTACCCCCATCCCACACAGGAGGTCAGGCCCTTTCAGAGATCTTATGGACATCTTATGGACATCTTATAGCAGTGTTTCTCAGTCTTGGCAACTTGAAGATGTGTGGACTTGCTGGCTGGGGAATTCTGGGAGTTGAAGTCCACACATCTTTAAGCTGCCAAGGTTGAGTAATACTGGCTTATACCCTGAGCTCAGGATAATCCCCTTTCTGTTGATTTTGGAGAAGGCAGAATGGGCCTTTGGGGTGCAAAGTATTGGGCCGGCTGACAATTCTTTACATTTTATTGCTGATATAATGGATTGGTTTTATTGAACATGTTAATGTTTGATATGTGAACTGTAAATGCTCTAAGTAAATAAATGTAACATCATGAAATGGTTACTTACATTTAGCAGGGTGATAAAGTATTTCCAGACCTTACCTACAAAATTGCCCCTAAGTGTGGGATCTGGAATCCTTTAAAGGCAGCACAGAAGAAACTAGAATCAAAGGACTCAGCAGTTGACAGTGATTTTGAAGGCTAAACCAAAATTGCAACAAAGCAAAAACAAGAGATGGCCAATGCTTTCTTATCTCCAAAATGGTACTAGGTAAGTTCAGTTATATTTACATTTTTTATTTTTTTCTGAATGGCATTACTTATTATTGTTTATTAGTACCACTGACTGAACCCAGTGGAGTTAGTTGCAACTCCTAACAGCCTAGCCAGTATGAACTATGATGAGATTTACTAGAAACTGGAGCTCAGCAACATCTGACATGGTCTTTGCTGTTTATAGAAGAAGCTGCAAATTGTTTTTGAAAGTTGCCTACCAATTCTTCATGCAAAGTTATGCAGTCCTATTGCATGCAACACTATTTAAATTATGAATATATAATTTGCTCTGATAAAGTATGCAACAGGAACAAAGAATGACTATTATTAAAGGGGCATTATAATTCTAATGACTGTAGAAAGAAAGTGCTAATTCAGCCTTCCCATCCTGGTGCCCTCAAAATGTGCTGGTCTAGAAATCCCATAATTTCCACAAGTATGGCCGAAGGTCAACAGATTTGGAAGGAACCAGTTTGGTGGTAGCTTTTCTAAAGCTAACTAGACATGTAAGAGTAAATCATGAACTGGTTACTTATATTTAGTAAAAGTAAAAAGAGAATGGTGAACCACAAATCATTCTTTAACTCTTAGGAATCTTCATAATTTGTAATAGAGCTTTTCAGTTCAGAAAACATGAACACATGTGTAAATGTACGTATCTGTTTAAAAAAAAACAACTCCGTTTTCTGAAAAGGCATATGCTTGGTCTTATATGAAAGGCATTGACAGATTTCCAGTGTCCATAACTGACAGCAGCACTTTTTTAGGCCATGGGCATCATCATGATATCATGAGTGTAAACAATAATTAAAAAGTCATTTTTAGAAAATTATGGATATAAAGAACCTACAGATTTAGTTCTTTTATGATATCTTGAATCTACCTACCTACCTACCTGTCATTTGCCATGTGCATTATGTTGTTGATATTTTATCAACAATTTTGTATTTTGTATTTTATCAGGATGTTGTAGTGGCTAAAATGGGACAGGAGGGAGGGAGGTTGGGGGGTAGGTTGGGGAATGGTGGCGCAGGCATGGTGACATAATCAGGTAAATGCTGCAATTCATGTGCTTCCATCAGATGTCCTGACACAAGTATGTAGTGGCAGCTTTTGTATGAGTATGTCATTGTGTGTGTGTCAGCTTAAGTTGCTGGTGACCTAAGTTGTTGGAATGGGCCCAGGGAGATTCAAGGTCAGGGGAGATAAAATAAGAGGAGTCTAGCATGTAGACTGCCTTGAATTCTTAAAAGAAAAGTGGAATATAAATGTCAATAATAGTAGTATAGTAATAATAAGGAATGGTGCACAAAGAAAAGAACTAGTCTTACATTGATATTGGAACTGATAAAGTCAGTGTAATGCACTTGAACATTTCATGACTCATAGGTTGAAACTGCTAGGATTGGGCAGTATATAAATATTCTAAATTAAGAAAAAGAATAAGAAAAGGAGACAAACCCTTAAATCTTTTACTCTCATTCCTGCAACTCTAATCTTAAACTCTACGTGAGCTTTGAGGCAAACATGATTTTGGATATGAGTGAGTTGCTTCCCCATGATTTTTATTACTGGGGGCTGTTCTGAGTTACAGATGTAGAGAGAGTGAATGAAAACACAGATGTCAGTGGAATTCTCTCTGTAACAGAAATTTATGTATGCAGAGATTTTTGTTTAGGTGACGCGTATACAGAGGAAATCTGCCTAAAACGTATTTTGAAATGCAGTCTCTCTCTCTCATCTTTCCAGCTACCGCTTCTCCAGCTGCTTTGGCCATAACATTGCTCTTTACATAATGTCATTCATGGTGGAAGGCACAACTGTTACAAGAACCAATGTGGAGCATACAAACACCTGACTCTGTTCAAAAGACCAGGATTTCAAGAGCTTTAGCTCTGCCTTCCATCCAGATGGATGTGCAGACAGGCAGGATGCTGAATGAACTATTTTTGCTACTTACAGACTGAAGCACCTGAGGAGTCACAGGACAGCTCTGGTTGAATGTGATGAGCATCTTCTGAACTCTGGCTAGTTGGCAGAAGCAGTAAAACTGGCCAGAGTGTTGCAAGAATGTTACCTATCCCCGTGTGATGTTGGAGGATAGATAACAGCTTTACTACAGTCCTGCCAAATGCAATAAATATAACCTTCTGCTGGCTCTTCCAGAAAGTTTTTTTAGGGTGGAAGAATGCAGTGGCATCTTGGGTCAAACCCGTTGTCATTTCTCAGGAATCCGATCAATTGACAGCTTCCAAACGGACTCAGGAAAATGTGGTGTGAAAAGAATGCTGCTGTGGGTTTTACCAAAATCCTTTGGTCCAATTTTCTTCTTGAGATTTATAAAAATGAGTTTAGCAGACACAGTTGTGCTTCACAGACAAGGAACCTTTGGGAAGCCCAAGTGATGCGGTGTTGAAATCCCAGATGGTTCAACATCTTTGAAGAACTATAGTCAACATTAAAAGCCACTTTTATAACTGCTGCTATCACGTTACTGGAAAATAGAGGCCCATAAACATGAACAGTAATAAACTTCTTAAGGAACCAGTAGTTTCTAGGCTGCATTAAAAAAAAAAAAGTTTAGTAAAGCAACCATTCTCTTGAACTAGCTGCATTTAGAATTCACAAGACTGTGAATTACCCCTTAGATTACCCTTTATGATTAGATTACCCTTCGTGCATGTTGAGTTCAGTCAATGGAGAGATACCAAAGGAAGACGAAATGGATAATATATGCTGAAGAAGAATTGCTGGCAACTCAATTATAGAAGAATGAATGATAAATTTGGTTTTGCCCCTCCAGGATTTGCTTTGACATGGCACCTAAAATTACATTACTCAAAGTGCTGCTTAAGTCTGAAAGTGATCTGATATGAAATGAGACTGCTTAGGCTTAGAAATGACACCATTGTTCAGACTGTGTTGAGACTGACATTGAATATTGAGTTGGGCTAGTTTGGATTTACCAGCTTCCCATCGTAATGTCTTCCAGAGGTGATAGAGAACATTTCCCATCATCCTTTGCCAGTATGCTCATTGGTCTTATCCAACACATGGGAGAATATCAAATTGAGGAAGACTGGCTTAGCAATGACTGATTCATGTGATTTTTTTTTCCTAACAGTTGACTGAGTGTTGTTTGGGCTTCAATGAGTAGCTTATACAGTATAGACCTTTAAAAGTGTAATATAGTAACCCCAGACAGACAGACAGACAGACAGACATGATATATATATTTCTAGGTCTGTATCTGCCATCTTTTGTCTCATTGTGCTGCTTACAGATTAATACCAATAACTTCAGGTTTTAAAACAGATTTCTGTTAAATGTGTATAAGTATGTTTAAAAAAAAACAAACCACCCTAAACTTTCATTCTGTAGACTGACTGAGAGAGTGCAGTAAAGGGTTATTCAGACAGGCACTGGTGTGCTTCTTAACAGCCAAGAATTAATCATGGAACATCTTTCCAACCCTCTGTTTGTTTCTCCCTTATAAGCAAGTAACTAATGCTGATTCTTATGGGAAGATTGAGATATATTGCAGTGAGGGCAAAACTCAAGAGAAAGTAAAAAAAATCCCCCCCCCCTTTTCACTGCCATATTTGCAGCTAGTTAAATGGAAGGGGACATTTTGGCAAAAACGATGCACCTGAATTTCTCTCCACAAACTCCACCTTGTTCTTTATACTTCAAAAGCAGTTCAGCATAGAGAACAATTATTGTTGTTTGATTGGTACCTTACAACAGAAGTCACTGGCTTTAGATAGGGGTAGTTAATAGTCATTGTATGAAAGGGAATCTGTTTCACTGTTTGAATATATTCTTTTTTCCATAGATACATTCTCAGGGCTTGATGCAGATATAACGGGAACTACAGAATCATATGTGGTTTATGATGAAGGTACTGGTTACTTGAAAAATCCTTTTTCAAAATGGGTTTTATCTTTCTTGTCTGCTCCTAGAAATAAATTTCTAGAAAGACACAATGGGTTTCTAGGAATGCACTGGTAGCCTAGACAGAACTCCAGCCTAAATGTGTCTAAAAAGGAAAATTGTCTTCCTGATTATGATTTTTGTATCTCCACGACAAACTAGTATTAGCAGATATGCAGGTGGCAAGGTTTTTTACATAAACATAAACGTGACAGATTTTTGTGTTTACACAAAGTTTTAAATGAAATTTGTTCCAACCATGTAGAAAGGGAGATGGTAGAAGTGGATTTTAATGGCCAACGGGGAATTTATTGAGGGCTATCTCACTCATTGCTTTCTTATCCCCAATTTCTATCCATACTCATTTTTCATATTAAGCTTGGCTAAAGAAAAAAATACCATTAACTTATGGGAGAAAGTAAGTAAACAAAAGAGTACAGAGCAGAAAGAGTTTCTTAACTGTGGCTTATATGGACTTTTTGTCATTAAAAGTTGGCACAGAGACTTTTTTTTTTAACATAATGGGAGGCAAAACAGGTAAAAAATGAACAAGAACAAATATTCCAATGCTCTTTTTTGCTCCTTGAGTTAATATTATTGACCATATTTTTGTGTCTTGTTCTTCCAGAGGTTATGCCCTCTGGAAGAACACCACAATGCTGCTTTCCTTCACCAGTGGCTATCAGATTGGCCAAGAACACCTTTTGTTTTGTTTGTTTTATTCCTTGAACCGTTCAAGCAAGTAATTAAAAAAATTCTCCAAGTAAACATTCCAAGCAGGAGAGGAAAACCCTCTTATATAAGTAAAGTTGCCAGATCACTGTAAATTAAGACAGTCCAACAGCTGGACACCCAGGAGGAATCCCAACTCAACCACCAGCACAACATTGTGTGATGCCAAGAACCCTGTCCAAACTGCAGGCATGCATAGCTAGAAGTAGTCCTCCTGTGACTGTTTCAGCTGCTGAATATGTGTGAAGTAGCCATAGTGCAAATCCATCTCCATATCTTATGGGGCCTTAGGCCAATTAGACTTGATGGGTTACCCTGTCACTAAAAGCTTCTCCCCACTTACTAATTATCTGCCACTTGTAACAATATTTAGTGGAGCTCTGAACATGCACAGTATACTTTGGACTTTATTGTCATGTTTGTTATATTTGTATATCACTTCTCAATATGGAAATCTCAAAGGAGTTTACAATAAAACAGTTAAAATACAAAAATATAAAAGAAGATGTTTAAAAATGCTATAAAGACAACATATTCATTAAAAAAGGTGGGGGAGCGGGAAAAGAAACCAGAAACCATTTATGCAACATGCATCCAGGAAGATTTGGGTAAAGAAGGAGCTTTTTAGCAGATATCTAAAATAAGTATAGTAGGTTCCTCAGAATTTCAAGGGTAGAGCATTCCAGAGTGGTGATGTTAACGCAGAGTAGTAAACACAAGATGCAAGAGGAACTCCCCTGACCATATTAGTGATTATCTGGGCCTCTAACAGTGAAGGTGCTCTATTAGGAATGGTCTGTATGTGTTGGTATCACCATTTTAGTTTTATCAGCTCTATCACTGATATGCATGTATCAAGGATCAAGCCCAATATAATTAGCAAGGCAACACTGATCGCTTAACGTGTACTGTGCATCTCCGTAGCTTTTATAACCAGGCCCAGTCTCTTTCCAGTTACCGTTTACTGAGATAGTTGGGTGGGAAGAGTAATTCATCCAGTTGGTCAAAGCATTTGCCTGGAGAATGGCCGTGGCACTTTCCTAGTGTATCCAAGTTTCAACATGCCTAGTTACTTCATGAGAGACTAAGCAAGAAACTCTCTCCAATGCTATACTGTAAATTTTACAAGAATGTCCATCTGTTACAAGATCTTATGCAACCCCACAGTTCAAAAAGATCAGTGACAATTGGAACAAATTTGAAATCGGGCTACAGAGATGGTGAGAGAGAATTCTGGGACCCAAGCCCTTTGAGGAACAGTTAAAGGATCCAGGCACATTGAGCCTACAGAAAAGATGACTTAAGGAGAAATACGACAGCAGAAAAGGGAGTGGATTATTCTCTGTTGGCCCAGAGGGCAGCATTGGAACCAGTGGGTTAAAACTACAAGAAAGGAGGTTCAGGAGCAGCTTCCTGATGGTGTAATCTGTTAGCCAGTGGAACAGACTGCACATAAAATTGTGAGTTCTCCATTGTTAAAGGTCTTCAAACAGAGGCTGAATGGTCTGAGATGCTGAGATGGCTTCTGCAATGGCCAGGAGATTGAATTAGATAACCATTATGGACTTTTCCAACCTTCTATTACACGCTTTGTAGAGGACTTCGCATTGGATTCCTGACGTAATATCTAGGGCATGTATGCCTAGTGGCACATACTTGGGGGCTTGCCAAACTTCCTGCCTTACCTAATCTTAATGATTTTTAAATAACAAGCTCCCAAATTTTCAAATGTGCCCCCCAGTTGCTGTCCCAGCTTAATAATAAATCTAGCTTTGGCCTGCTGAATCAGTTGTGATACCTTCTAGGTTTATTTCTGGTTTGTTTTTGTTTTTGTTTTTACTGAATAGTCCAGTATAAATAGGGATGGGGTAATGTGTGGCAAATAACCTTTTTGCTTCTCCAGTGGCCTACGAACAAGCTTGGGCTCTTTAAAAAATGTACCACATTTTCTCTTTTTGTCTAGATTATGAATTTTTTGAAACTACTTTGCCTCCATCTACCACAACCACTACTACCACCGCCGCCACCACCACCACCACCACCACCGCTACCACCACCACGACTGAAGCACTGCCTGAAATCGCCTTTCCAGAGTTCAGTGTCACAGGCACAGATCCTTTATCAGAATATGATTCTGCTGGAAAGAAACGATTTACTGGTAAGTTTGAAACTTCCCTTAAAGAACAAAGATTACCAAGCATACCGAGGGCCTCTGATGCTAAATATGTGACTGTCAGTCTTGTCAGCAAGATTGTTTGGTTAATAGCAAACATGCTTCTGTGCACATACACCTGGGAACCCTTCGCTTCATGAGATCATAATAAGAATCATACTGGATTAGAGGAAAGAGAAAATATACTTTCCTACACCGTTGATGAAGTTATAAATGCATATTTTAACCATCTTTTCAGGAGGGTTAGCATGGTGTGTCAGTGGGCATCAGGACTTTGCTGGGCCCTCCTCCCAATAGATAAAAAGAATAAAAGGCAATAGAGGCTACAAAAAATACAAACAGAAAAATACAAAGGAAAAATGCGGAAGAAAAGAAAAAATAGAAAGAAGAAAGAAGAAAGAAGCAACTTACCCCTTCATCCCAGCAAGTAAAAACAATCATAGTGACTTATCACTATCTCTAAATACAACATGATCTCACTTTACCCCATATTTCATCTATGGACTTGTGATTTTAGTATTACTACATTTCTGCTCCATAGTCTAATTCTAAACCTAATCTAGAAAAGACTGGTCAGAGTGAATAAAGTTTGTTTCAGGGTTTGTTTTTTCATGGAAATGAACCCTTGTGCTTAACAGAGAGTGGAAGCACAAACCCATAGGTATTAAATGATGGACATCATCTCTTCTTCTCAGTATAACTGCAAACCTTTCACTTTCTGTTTCATGCTGTGAGGCATATTTGTTTTATCAAGTTCTTCATAATGCTGTGAATGACACACCCTTTGAATGTCTAAGTTATATCTTTTAACAAAACAAATCTAAACTACTATTTTTGCAAAAATAGTAGAAAAATACTGTACTCCAAAATTAAGAACTCCATCATGTGAAAAGGAAAAAAGGAACCGTATCCAGAGAAGCAATGAAAGAATTATTATTGTTGGTCACACAGCCAGACATTTAGACTGGATTTGGCATTTTTACCGACCTGTCGAGTCCTTCCCAAGGACCTGGGATAGGCAGATGCATCATCATCATCATCATCATCATCATCATCATCATCATCATCATCATCATCATCATC